CTAAAAATGTCCTTTGACTAACATTTTTGTATGTGTCCATGATTTCTCCATTAAACAATTTCTAAAAATATAGAGAATAAATATATCAAGAAAAAAATAGAGCAACAACATGTGCTCTCAAATTCTGTATTTAAAATGTTAGGTGTTGCATTCAAAAGTAGTGCTCTTTAAAAAGAACTATTTACAAGTTATCCGGAAAGTGCAGTTGGTACAAAAATCTCGGAACAATATTTCCAGTCCCGTCATGTCAAATAACCCTCAGTAGAGTCGATTAAGGCTTATATAAACGATCTTATTTTAGATGAATTTTCAGAATAATAAATCAATGGTGATAGTCATCTTTTATGATAAAGGAAAAACGAAAACGTATCCTGTTATAAAATTTGTTAATTTCCTGGCCTGCGTGATATCTTCTATTTATGAATTTATCTGACAATTTGCATGGGAAACGCGGCACAGAGAAACAATTCATCCCCTTGTGTTTTCAGGAAAATCACGTTGATGAAGTCAAAGGTTCAAAAGGTCAGATTTGACAGTATGGCCTTTCCACAATGCTTCACGCCAAATTTTGGTAAAAGGGCAAACAAAATACTAAATATTTATTTGATAAACAATGTAAACTGTATGTTAAACTAAAACGGTAACACATCAGGAAAAATATTAATCTTTAAAGAATGGCGTTACAGTACTCTACAATTGTCTTATACAGCATTCCTCTTAGACTCTACTTTATCAAGTCATATTTGATAAATTTAAAACAGAATAAAATTAAATGTGAGTTTAAATGTTTGAATTGGTCGGTTTTCTGTTTGTTGTATTACCAAAAATGACTTTAAAGGAGCCCCACTGAGGTCTGACAGTTAAGTTTGTGTCAAAACAATGTGAACAAATTCACACAATTAATTTATTATAACTAAAATAACAATAACTTACATTTTTACCAACCCTTAAACAACAATTTCGCAAGAAAATGAATATTAACATTAGCTTTTGATGCTCAAATGAAATTTGTTTTTTCCAGACATGTACAGACGTTACCCAAAATTCATCGGGTATGGCGAAAATACGCAAAATAAGCAACGGAGTAAACGGGGCAAAATGTCAAATAATTATAATAATAATTCTAACCTATTGTGTTGATATAACTTGAGTAAAATGAAGAGAAAATGTATGCAAGCTATTTAAAGTAGCAATTTCGATTTCTTGAAAAATTAAACGCCAGCGAAACGGACAATTTTCTGATCATATGGCATCGGTGATATTTATAAAGAATGTAATCATACCAATAAATATAATGTATTTAACTCCATCTACTTAAATTCAAATACAGTTAATGACATTCCATCCTGTAAGAAATGATTAATATTAAAAAGCATGTCTCAATTGCTTTAATTTTCTGTTTTAGGGGTAGAGTTTGGGCGGCGGTGCGTCGCACAGAAAACTGTGTAGGTCATAATGGCGACTTTTCAGCTTTACTGCTAGAGAATGAACTCAGGTGTATCCCCCCTTTGCAAAATTGTTTCTGACACAAACGGGCATCTGAGTACAATGAGTGACGTGTCGTAGGCTATCTAGATGGGATCGTTCACACAGTCAAATAACCCCTCTTTAAGGGGCAAAAAATGGATAAGTAGCATCCCCTACTTCTCTGTCAAAAATTTGCTATCCTGCCGATTCAGATTTTGCAAGCAATCTGGTGTACCTCTATTATTTTTAGTGCTAACGCTTAGTATTAAATTCCAAAGAAGATTACTTAGGGGACTTTTAACGTTTGAGTACGATATAATAACTATAACAGAAATACTTAAGAATAAATTGTAATGCCTTTAACTGTGATATTTATTCGTTCATGTGTTTAAAATACTAAAGAATGTAGCTCTAAAAATTTTCAAAACAATATCCAGAATTTTCGAAACAATTTACAAAGGCTTTTAATACACTATCTCATAAATCTTCATATTACGAGTACCACTCAGCTTATCTCCAGAATATACATTTGAAAAAAAAAGATCAACAAGGAATGGTAACATTCAATGAACGCAACACCCACACGACCAAGAAACAAAGGAACAGTACAGCCAAGTTACTAATGAAAAAAAATACTTTCAGGCTTTCAAGTGACAAATAACAATACAAAACAAAACAAAAAGAAAAAGAACAATTTTGTTTGTAATATAAAAGGTATTACGGTGTTTTTTTTTTCTGGACAGGTGTCAGATAAACCAAAGTGACCTTTGGAATAGGACCCATCACACTGTCTTGATAAAGGGAATTTTTCTACGTCTAGATATTTTGATATTTTAACAATAACAAAGTTAATACATAGTATTTATTAATTACACGATCGCACCGATATACACATGGAATATTTGTAAAGTTTGTGTATGTCAGTTTCCAACTCCGTACGTTTAGCCAAATTCATCATTGTATCGGAGTAAATAAAACATGATTACAATAATATAAGGCTTTAAATGTATTGAAATTGCTTTTGAATGATTTTTCTCACAGGAACATATGTGCACAACAAGACATTTAACAAACAAACCCATAGTTTGCTCTTAAGTTTATGCCATGTTGGTAACTTTCGAACTCCGTTGCTGCCGATGAACAAAAAAACTCTTCGTTCCGCTTTATTAGTCATCCCGACACTCATCACGTGACCGTTGTTTATATTCGGATTTGCAAACTGAAAGGCGTTTAAACGCATTTCCCACGAAATTGGAGAAAATTTTATTTCAAACGAATTGCCAAGCCAAAGAATGCATATCAATGTATCACTGATTCTGTTTAAATGTTCCTAACAATCTGGTAACAAACAATTATCGGTTCGTGAAAATTTACTTTTTTGTGTCATTTGACCATACCTCAGTGGAGCACCTTTAAAGACACGTGGTACGGGTACACAGATATTGTATCGATATACAGCATCTAAGTTTAATTTTTAGGCCACGTTTTTTAAAAAAAAAATGCTTTACAATTAAAAAACATATAGTTAAGCAATTTAAAAAACAAGAATAAGAAAGTAATTTTACATCTTATTAAATAAATGTCCACATTAATGTTCAATTTGTTATTATTATTACACATGAAGAACATATGAAAAGCAAGATAAACAAGGAAAGGCGTCATCTCTTACACAAAAGGCATCCAGCAGGACACCAAAAAGACAGAGTGCACAATAAAAAGTAAATATTTCTGTCAACTCTCAATACATGTTTACTTTTACCTCATTTATGTCGATGGCCTTTGGCCTTCTATCAAATTAATAATTTATTATTAAAATATATGTCCTTTGTAAGACTGCTCACTCCTTGTCCGGGAGTGTACACATATAACTTTTGCAAAACTCAAAATCTTAAACTCAAAAGGTTAAGACAAATAAACACTAACATATATCTTTTAGTAAGGTAAATATGTAGGATCTTAATTATTCAATCGCCTAACATTGGATTAAATTGTGTTTAAAGCTACAATAACGATGTGTTATTTTCTGTTTCAATGCATGACACTAATTATAATGTAATGCTCAATAAATACTCTCATATTGACAGAAAAACAGACAGCCAGGGCAATAGATACCATGTCACAACTATTTTATAATGTTTATCATTGAGTATTTTCATAATGCCCTTGTTATTGGGCTGAACACATTTACATAAGTTTGGAAACAGAGGCCAAACTAATATAATAGCCTTAATCCCAATAATAAGCCATTATGAAAAAGCTTAATTATTGACAATTATATTAAAAAACTGCACATTATCTAAAAAGGTTAAGTACTTAGTTAACAAAAAAACTAATGTGTATTCCGTTGTTGTAAGGTATTGCATAATTATGAAATTCTTGTTTCAAGAAGTCCCGAGAACATATTTTGCAGCAATTCAAAATGGCGACTTTTTCATTGAAAGAAACCCCCAGATTCTGGAAAGCAAATCAAAATTCTCCAATCTTCTAATCGCCGAGTTTTCTCATAAAGGCCGTACTCTTTTCATAATGGCCTTTTTGATGTTCATTATGTCGTGGTGAACTTCATATTAACCTTAAATGTGTTTGTTTGATTGGGTTTTATGTCATACCGACAGAGTATAGCTCATTTGGAGACGTTCCAGCTTTACTGGTTAGGGAAGACCTCGCCTGCCCTTCCGTGCATTATTTCAAGCACGAACGGGCACCTGAGTAGAACCACCGACGCTCCGTAAGCTAGCTGGACAGCTTCCTCACAATTATCCAAAGTCCCTGTCGGGATTCGAACCCACAGTGGTGAGGGTCAACGACCTTAACCACTCGGCAATGGACGCCCCTAGCCTTATATTTGAAATGAAAACGTGTGCAATATAGAAAAGTAAATTAATAATGAAATACACCGTTCATGTTCTGTTATTCCACCAATGCAAATAAAATATGGCCACATTTTATCGTTGGAAATTAATTGAAAAGAAAGACCTTCAAAATAATACATTCTGAAATGCGCCAGTGTAGGACTTTATTCAGTTTTAAATTTAGTAATTCAAGTTCATAATTGCAAATGAGCATTGTTTAAGGCACAAGTGGGCGCTGAATGATACCCCTGTGAAACATGAAAAACGCTTAATAAACTAATATTTGTTGATGTTTTGTCAATAGCGTAATTTATGTTTATTATACCCTGTTAACTTAAAAGTAAAAGTTTTTGCTGTTAAGATTATGTATTACATTGAAGTTGATACAGACATACTTTTAGAAAAATGTAGATATATTTACAGTCGAAAATATATAGACTTCTTCAAGTAAGTGCGCAATAATGAATCAAAGCGAAAGATGGGCATTCTTTTATGGCTTATTTTGCTTATTAAGTGAGAAATTCTTTATTGTAGACGGTCTTAACCTTGAAACATCTTGTCTTTAACACGCTTATTAGATGTTGTTCATCTATAACATTAATGATTAAACTCGCTAAAGTAATTTTATTTAATACAGGAACAACACAATTCTTCAATATTTTACAAAAAACACTTGCATTTGTTTTTCAATATACATTGCATTTATTTCCCGGATTCATGAAGGATCCAACTGGACAGTTCCATGCCTCTGCAAATTCTTTGCTGTTCTGCATTTGAAAGTTTATTCTGCAATAGAGGATACACTCAACAGTTCTTGAATTGTTTATATCGATTCATATGTGAAATGTGTGTTTCAAAATGAAAGTATTCAGGTATTTCAAGCGATATTTTATACTTAACCTCTTTAAACATTTCTGTCTCTTCAAATATCCAAAGGCACATACGACAGCACAAAGCTTTCAATTGGGACAACCATTAGAATAATACTGGAGACGGAAATGATTTAAAAGCTTAATAATATTTTGCTTATTTTGCTTTTAAAATTTAGTGCAGACATGTATTTTAGAATTTTGTATAGAAATCAAAATACTGTTATGTTTCATTTTGTTCCATATACGACAAATGGTTGATCATTATGTGCCTTTTCTTCAAAAATTGGCATTTAACATCCTCTTTTAACTGTTATATCGCCTTTCTACATTAGGGATTGAAATTTTTCTTTTATGTACTTTACTTATTTTTGTTTTAACATCTCATATAAAACTAGCAAGTCTTTGGCTTTTTGCTTGGTGAGCAAAACTTTATAGTTTATGCTGACTTCAGTTTGAATTGAAAATCGAAAAATCTGTTTCGTTACGTTTTGTTAGAGTGAAATGCGCATGTGCGAAAATCTGCTTATGTATTAATATCATGTTATAAATATCTGCATTTCATTACATTCCGTTTATGTACAATAATTATATTGTGTAAGAGAACAGATATATAATGTATTCTACCTTTAAACGTTCAGCCTCGTATAAGTCTAGCTTATGAAGTGCAATATTTCTTAAACTTATCATCAGCTTAAAGCAGTCTTCATTACGATGAGCCCGAGAGACTAGGAACAAAAGATCGAACAGTTTTTCTACATATATCACCAATCATGTTAAAGAAATATTTAGGGTAGGAACACAGGCACGAGTATCGGACCCAGGAAGAAACAATATGACCAGATTGATAACAAAACACGTGTTCATCTTAAAAGTGTCAAAAACCAAAAAAAAAAATGAAAAATATGACCACCTTTAAAATATACTATAAGTTAAGAGAAGGCCGAAAACTCCAGATTCGAGCCTACGAGCAAGGGACTCATTTCCCGGGCCGTTGTGAAAACAATTGTCCAAACAATTAAAAAAACTTGTGTCACTATTTCAAATGAGACCGACCCCAAGTATCTAGCCCTTTCCGTTCATGAAATACCTATCAGGAAACGAGCAAATGCTTGCTAAAAATCCTTGATAGACAAAATTGCGGCACAAGGATTCGTGCCTGTGGGTGGGAACATAATTCAATGGCAATTGTTATTGCATAAATCAATGATGGTCGTACTTCTAAAACCTGACAACGTATAAGGATATTATTAAGAATTATGTTGATAAGGTGGACTTGATTTCAAATTATATGTCACTGACTGGTTTAATTACCTTATACTTCTCACAGGATAATTTGAATATCTGGCAACTGATATTCTTTCTTTTCTTCTCAGTTTGCTGCAAAAGTCCTTAAAAAAAAGAAAGTCAGAATTTATATTTCAAATAAAAAGACATTTTATATATATTCGGAAAAGGGTTTACACTACTTTGATACCCCTTTACTGATAACAGTACCTTGAAACATTATTACAACTACAAGATGAGTGCATAAACTAGCTGACCTCACCTACAGAACTACATTAATACTTGCATTCAATACTTGAATCACATTGTATTACTAACAATATCAGAACGAGCGATATTGACCTTTTCGTATGATCTCAAAGAAAAATACTTACAATTGCATTATTTAGGAAAAATAATTGCTTTGGCGTATATTGAAGTCCTGGTAATCTTTTCTCATCTTTGTCTACCCTATGTGTCTTCAGCCACTGCATATAAGCCTAGAATCAGTTATTGTTGAATAATGATTGTAATAATTTTATAATTGGGCTATTATTATTATTTCATTATTATAATAATAAATTTTATTATAATAATCTATAATTATGTTAGGTGATTTTTTAAAGTTTTTTTGCTATTGTTTCCTTTGTTATTAAGATTACGTTTTTTTTTTGTTGTTTTTGTTGTTTTTTTTTAAAGAAGATACATTGCCTTCCTGACTATTTTCTACATATTTTTAGTTGCATACATAAACTTATTTTATTGAATAAAAATATTTCTATTTAAGCTCAGACTTTGGTTATAACCTTCAATTATAATAGATAAGAGAGCAAGGCATTACAATCATATATAAAGGCTTTCTACAACAATTGTTTGGCAGGAAACATGGTACTTCAATCTTATTCACATTGATCTAAAATGTTGCTTCTCCTGCAACATAATTTAAAAGGAAAAAAGTGTTCATATATCACCATATAACTAGCTTTGAGTCCTTCGTGGTCGGCAAGCGTTTCAGCTAAGGTCCTATCTCCATTAGTCTGTGCAGGTAAAAAAACATAATTGTATTGGTACATTTGTCCATTTAGAGATATGACAAATGTTAGATATGAAAAACATTTTAATTGAATTGGGATTCCATAACATTATGTAACATTTAGAATTTGTTTACAAAATGGACAGTTCTATTCGTTATCTTAAATTCTTTTGCATTCTTTTTCTAAAATGCCAGTATCAGTACAAAAAAACATCATTTGCATGGCTGGCAAGCGCTTTTGAACTTATAATTTCATCTTTCAGTTCCAATGAAAATAGTAACAGAAATGATAATGTAATAACTGAATTATTTCTGGACATCGAAATTATTATTTTTTCTTTTTTTCTTTACCACATACGATTTATTTATCTAAAGTGTAAATGCGTTGATTTAGATAAAGCACCCTTGTGCCACAGCACTTAGTTTATGGTCTAAATTTGTTATTATCAATAAATATGTAATATGTTTAAAAATCAGTGTTTTCTAAAGGTGAATTTACAGATTATATTTTTATAGGACAAATCTGTAATTATTCCGATTCAAAATAAATAAAGCTTAAATGCTCAAACACATCATAAAGGTATGTCATTTCATATATTTCATCCATTACTGTTTATGTTAAAGAATTCAGTACAATATCTGAATCTTAAGCTCACGTTTACGCAGTCATCAACATAGTTATTGGTTTTTATATTCCATTGCTTAAAGGTACTAAATATGAAAGATTAAACTGTACGTATGTGTTGACTTTTTATTTAACTTTTTTTAATTTTCTGTGGCCTTTGACTATGATTTATTTGATATTTGAAGGAAAAATGTGAATAAACAAGACTTTGACAAAGATCGATAGTTTCTGTTGAACAGGATAGAAATAAGCATACCGATATTCAACATTAAAAAGACGCCTTTAAAACAAAAGTGGTTTGATTATTTGAGTTATAATTGAGTTTGTCAAGTTGTTTCATCGTTATTACTACATGCGTATTGAAAATGGTACGAACATAATTATATTTCTAACACTATATTGAGAAATGCAAATTCTTATTAAACATAATACATTATTTAGTCATATTGCTGGTATGACTTTTCTCCGACCCCATTATTTAATGATAAATGAGAAAAATGTACCATGTGATTTTTTGTATCATGTATAACTAAGTAGAATTGCTGTGACTTTATGCTTTAATATATTATTCTGTCTGATGAGAATATGTTTTGTGTGTATCAAGAATTGTGAGATATGCGTGTTAAGTATTATTATGAGAAGTATCATATTTGGAACCCGCCCGCTATGGTTTATCAACTGATGTTGACAACGATCAAAACTGATTATACCATAGATGCTGATAGATTTGTGCTCATTCATTATGTTACAACATTAAAACCTGATATTTCATAGGAATGTATATTTTCAAATTCATCTTTTTAAATATGCCAATGTGTAACATGCTAATCATGCATGATAATGAACTGAAAATTGACATTGTTATTCTTTAATATCATACTTCACATTTATTTGTAAATTTCAATGGTGTAACTTATGTATAAGCGCCGGAGATCTCATTATGCAAAAAAAGACTCTTCAAAACAAAATTTAAAAAATGCGTGTGTGTGTGTGTGCGTGAGCGTGCACAATACCTTCAATCCACCAGTCCCAGGTACGGTGATGTTGCTGATCGTATCTACGAAACACTGAGCTCTTTTGCTAAATTCATTCATGTCTTCTTTTGACCACAACCTCTGATTAGCACCATCTTTATCAAATCGTAATCCTATAAAATAACAAAAATTGTTATCATACGACAACTTGTACCAGACAAGTAGTCACATTATCAAGCCGTAAACTTGTTCATACATATGTTTGCCTTTAAGAACATACGGGACAGTATATGAAAGCACCTTGATATCATAAGTTGCTGTTTCCGTCAGATTTAATTTCATGATTTTAGACTAACTTCATGTATCATTTTTAAAATTACATTAGGAAAATAACCTTAAATGTGACTTAAATATTCCATAAAGAAGCACGAAACTCAGTAACGTTTCCAAACCTATTTTCAGTATTGTTTAAATACTTTCTTATCTATGATTCTTACTTTTGAAAGTTTCATATTTTTATTTTGTTTTGTTTGATCCTTTATACTGATCCTTTTTGTTCATGCGTGTGTATGTGTGAAAGGGGTGGAATTACGTCGCATTTGTATCGTTAAGGTCTGTGGATGTCCCTCCGTACATAAGCCATTTATGGACAAAGGCCCAATACTTCTGTAAGATAACTGCGATATCTTTCTATGGACAAGTGGTTTGAAAGAAAATCAATGAACGTAACAGCCCCTATCATTCTCGAAACATAAATGTTTACGCACTCACTATTTTTTAGCAAATGGTGAATTGTATACGATACTAAAGGAAAAAGAATTATTAAGGACATTTTAATTGATATCAAGAAAGAAAATTTAACATTTGTCATAACCAAGCAATTTTACCTATATTGTCAAATCCATGTGCGATTTCATGACCGATTGTGGCCCCAATACCACCATAGTTCATATACCTGAAAAACAAATAAAGTTATTGTAATCTATAGATAGTAATCTTAAAACAACAGTCAATAAAAATTTCAAACACTTTAAACATTTTCATATGAATTGTGTATTTTTTAATGCGAAAGATTAATTGCATCTTTTAATATATAATGTTAAGCTTTCAGCCCCCTAATGGGCACTATAAGGAACTATAAAATTGACAACATAGGTCGGTTATATACCTTAAAAGACACAATAATGCAAAATTTAAACATAGTTTACCGTATTGTTTACGAGTTATTGACATTTTTTAAAGTAAAACTTGGTTATTAGTAGGCTCTTTTTCAGAAATTTGAAATATAATAATCAATATGAAAAAAATGTTTTCCTATAGATCATTTTTAAGTAACAAATAATAGCATTCAGCTTACAAATGACCTAGCAAAATTATTGTTTCTACTCAAAATGTTTGAAATATGTATATAAATGTTACCGTACCCAACCCAATTTCAGTACTTGTTTGTTGGAGGGTCTTATTCAAAATGTACTAACACAAATGTACTAATCTTCGATAAATTGCCGGTGAATTTCGTTGTATGTACGCAGTAGGGAGTTTTTTAATTTATTTCGTTTCAATTTAATAGTTAAACTGACCGTTATAGAGCAATAAGGTAACCTACGGAATGTTCTACGTGTTGTAAGATTGAGACTGCGTGTGACATATATGCTAGTGAGAATTTTCCAAACATAAGCTACATAGTTGTAAACTCCATATCAATTATCGTAAACTATAATTTAAGGACAAAACTGAAGTGGTGACGGATATTTTAATGCATCCGTAATTGACAGGTTAATAAAACCAGACTAGAACAAAATCAGAACATTATTTTGAGCAGTTTTTTGGATATTTCACTTAGTGTTTATGTGATAATGAGATCTGT